GTGCTAGAGCGTTTCTCATAACACTGAGTGCTAGAGCCCTTCTCCTTTGCGCTCTAGCCGCCGAAGGGAGCAGATGTTACCGAGGGGCCAAGTCGCCGTGCTATCTACCTCCCACTCTTGATGGAAGTATTCAGACCAACATTTCTTTATTAGACAGGCACATTAATTGCAAATCTTCGCAGCTAATGCATTCTCTTATAGCTGAGAGCATGGTTGCCCAGAACTCCGCATTTTCTGAAAAATGGTACATCACTGCAGTTAAAAAAGCATCTGAAAAAATTTTATTTCTTCAGTTTTGATATTGACATCTTTCAAGGAGATGAAATCATTTCATGAAAACACTTTGAAAAAATGCATTATTAGCTTGACAGCTATAGGCGCTAAACGCTGATCCTATCCAGTTGACTCATTTCATCGAACTTCTTGCATGTGAGCTTGGCTGTTTCTAGAGTTTCAGGAACGCGATGACGAACGCCTTTCTTCCTGCGCTAGACACCTTCACCATACCACAGGGTATAGAAGCCCTTGGTGGTGTAATACATGAGATCGACTACAGGAGTGTTCGAGGTGTCACTTGGAAATTACTGCCGCAGCACATCCAGCATGCAGTGGACAGGTGAGGATTGATCAGCCGTGCATTTCACGAATTGGAATTGGAATTTCAGCGAATTTATCGCCCATCTGCCTGTAGTGTTTTTTGTGCTCATAATCGTGGAGCGTGCTGTACTGATTGTGCATGAAAGAGAAAATGGTTCAATCGCTATTCTAGACTCTCATTCCCATGTTCAGGGGAAAAAAGGTGATCTGTTTCCGTTTATTTACCTTTTTAAGCTCAATGAAACCTCGCCTGTCATGGCGCACTCGCTTTTGGCGAGGTGACAACAATTCTCGACGATCCTTCAAGTGTTTCTGCACCATGCTATGAAGATAACACCGGGGAAACGACAAACCGATGTGCTGATCATTGAAATTACACCGTAGGCTTATGCTACGGAAATGTATGAACTCGCTATAGATTTCGTCTACAAGAAAAATTCGGTGTATTAACAGGCATATATGGAGGTGTGAGTCATTGTCAGGGTCTGAAACACTTCCATTGCCCTTGAAAAGCAAATTTCTACTTTGTCCTGAATCTAATTCTCTCGATACTTTGCCAGCAGCAAAACCAAACCACACAAGTGTAGATATCTAAAAAACCTCAAATTCTTCAAGAGGCAGTGTCACCATCTTTCAGCAGAACCAATACCGAGCAGGTGAGTACAAGCTCCCAACAAGAACGCTGATGGCTCAACTGAGGAATAAGGAATATAATGGAATTTAAGCTGATGCCTCTGACTGCACAGTGAATTATTAGGGTGTCCGAAAAGTCTTGGAAACGTCCAGTAAATTTTTTTAACACAAAATAACTTTAACAGTAAAAATGGTTAATAATCAAGATAGTGGCCTCACTTAGCTACGATGCCTCTCTGTCGACAGGGGAGAACGTCCGTTTGCGCGCGTCCATCGGAAGTAAGTCACCCCGCCCACTTCGCGCGCGGCGCACCCCNTTATGTTCTCTTTGGCTGAATGTCGTGGACCAAGCGCAATTCGTATGCCCTGCTGACAAATGCGACGTTTGTGAAGTATCGCGGGGGCACGCCGCATGCGACGACTGCGGCGTGACCTAGTTTTTACGGACGCGCGCAACGAGGCGCACCCGTCGACGGGACAGGGAATTGATGAAATTCCTCTAGAAAGAAGAGGATAGCGATGCGATTCATACATCTATTACCTTCCCATCAGAGAGGGAGCGAGCAGCTATAAAACGTTAAACAGTGAAGTTATTTGATACCGTGCCTTGACATCGAATGATGGATAACTATCACCTGAAGTCATCACAGCAATTCAGAGCAATTCTTTTTTTTTACGTCGTACAATTCTAACACACCATGGCTTCAGAGAAGCACTTCAGAAACCAAATCCATTTGGGTTAACATGCCTTTAAAATACTATTCAGGAGCTGTTATCGCAATCTCTCACATTGCCAATCTCCGACAGTTCTGCTCATTTATTTGTCAAAATTTGTTCAGCGAAGTTTATAAAATGGCGCCGGAGCAAATGGTAAGTATTTAGAGGAGGGTACAGTGAATTCCTTCGCTACAAATAAGGTTTGTAAAATGGCGAACGAAGAAAATAGAGGGATTTTGAGATTTTGACAAGGACACGGCAATCTTGTAAATCATTGGAAAACAAGAAGTGATTATTTTTGTTTCCCATCGTCATGTATTTTCCAGGGAACTTATCTTAGATTCTATGCAAAATCAATTGTTAGCAAAGAAATATATGAGAGGTAACTTATTTCAGCTGTTCGAAATATCGTGCATTCAGTATTGCGGCCCAGAGAAGAGTAACGAGGTCGAGACCAACACTGTCAAGGCCCACGTACGTTCTCAGCCTAGTTTTTGAGTATAAAAAAATGTCAAACCATTGAAAGTGGGGCTTAAGGTGTTCCCACGGCCATTGAGACTATGCTCTGG